TTTTTTTTTTTTACTTTTTTAGATGCACCTTACTTAGATGTATATAAATAGTAAAATATTTGTAAAAAAATATTTAAAAAATTAATAAATACACAAAATATGAAAAATGTATTGATTTTTATTTTTTATTTTTTGGTATTTAGTGTATTTTTTTAAAAAAAATTTACAAATATTATACTTTTTAAATATATTTATGTTAAGTGTGTCTAAAGATTTATATATAAAAAAATTGCTTAAAATACTAAAAATTCATTGAAAACATTAAAATATGAAAAATAAAAAAAGTAGAATTTTTGAAAATTATTTTCTGAAAACCAGAATCAAACAAGCTGTTATGATTGATGATGAATGGGGTGTCCAACACACTTTTATTACTTTTTGGTTATTTTAAATAGGGACTAAATAAAAATATATATATCATTAAATTGGGGTGCACAACCTATTTTTTGGGGTTCAAATAGAAGCTCTTGCTTACCTGCTTGAGGCTTGTATATATTTTTTTTCGATTTTACACTTTCGTTTAGAATTATTTACTATTAGAGGCTTGCAATTTAATTTTTCCGTTTTGCCCTTTTATTTTGTATTATTTACCAATATTGGTGGTACTAATTTGGATGAAAGTTTTTCCGTAATTATGCAAAGATTTTTGATCAGTTATGAAACATAAATATTTTGCTTTTGGATAAATTATAAATACACCCATGAGTTTTTTTTCTCCCTATTTTGCCCTTTTATTTTGTATAATTTACTAATGGCAACCTATAATTTGACAGAGGAAGGATTTTTCGTAATAATGCAAAAGATTCTTGGTTAGTTATGACACATAATTTTTTAAAATTTTGGGTGAATTATGAATACACTACTGAGGTTTGTTTAAAATATGAAATCCCCTACAATACTATAAATTATAATTATTCCTTATTAAAATCTTTAATTGAACATAATAAATAGAAAAAAAAATTTGTAAAAAACATAATTTTGAATAAAATATGAAAAAAATTGTTAAAACAAATGAAAATTCACCTAAAAATAATTTTTAAAAAATCAAAACAAACCGAATAATTTGTTATAAAATTTTCATTTTGGAAATATAAATTTATCACAGGAATAGCATGTGCCTTACACGGGTCCAAAAATATTTTGTTACAAATGAAACCAAATCAAAGTTTAACGGTAATACCATATGATTATTGGCGTGTAATGTCACCATTCGATTATTCCATTCTATAAACAAAAAAAAATATAAAAAAAAAAAAAAATCCACTCATTTGAACTAAAATTTTATCTCATCTATTCATTCCATACTTTTATCTTATAATAGAAATTAAAATTTCTATAATATATTTAATCATTGATTCTATTTAATTTGTAAGAAACTAATCTTATTTTTGGAGAAAAAGTTCAAGTAGTAGAATGGAATGAAGTGCAATGGAATGAAATGATTTTTTTTTTATTTTCTTATGGAATAATTATTACTAGCGTATGCTCGTGCCTGAAGGCACAGTGTAAATAATGTTAGGATTATAATATAATTGTAATCGCAACACTATTTAAATTTAAAATTAAAATGTAATTATAAAAATATATTTAATAGACTACACTCTACAATTCCAAACAAATCAAATATAAAAAAAAAATTTAAATATACCAACCAGTACTCTGCAATTTAAAAGAAATTAAAATTAAAATGCACACCAGTTAGTGTTACTGTTGCCAATCAAATTCTAACTACATAAGAAAAACAAACATTATATTGTCATACGCCAAAAGAGTGAGTTAAAACTTTATAAAAAAAAAGTGGGTCGAAGCTTTCCAGAATATGTATGCTTTACAGAAGATGTGTCAATAACATGTCTTCAAACATGTATTTGCCCAAACTTCCTCCTCACTACCGCATCAATATCTTTTTATTTCAAAAAAAAAAAATCTATCTCTGTACCTACACCTGAATATTTAAAATATATTTTGAGAACCCAAAATGTTAATTTTTCTTGTAAATACTATAAATTATATGGATTAACGAAGATTTTGTAAATTGACAACTGTGGCCCTATAAATTTATGCAGATGCATAAATCCCAAAAATAATATTAATTATAAGGGTTTATGAAAATTTCATGAATGGTTTGAATAAATGAGCATGTTTAATCTCATGGTTGAAATAGATCACACTGCATATTAGTATGCATTCAGCACATATAAATCTCAGAAGGACAACATGGTTTGGTTGGACTGAATTAAATTGCTAAAATAATTTACAGTCCAACTATTAATTCACTGCAACTTAAACAGGCAACACTCCTGGTACATTTGTATCAGTCAATAGTAAGAAAGTTACAACAACACAGCATACCATCCATACAATAAGCTAAACCGTTGTGCTATGAACTCAAAGATTTTCACAACTATCCAAACGGAACTCATTTTCCCTTTCATGTACCTGTCAGGGGATCTGAGCGCCTTCTCTTGGGGGGCTCATTGTCACCCAACTGCTGCGAAACAACAATACCCTCATCGGGGGCAGCTCTCAACGCAGAGAGATTCTCAGATGCAGCCCTGTCCTGTTTGTTGTTTTGTTGCAGAGGAGACCAGCCATTGAAGCTCGGAATGAACTGGTGTTCAACACTTGGACCCATCTTGACCTTGTCTTCTGAAGGAAACTCGGTTTCAGTTGTTGATGAATTCATGTCTGGGCCAACCGCTCCATCTTCCAGAGGGATATGCTGGATGTGAAGACCAAGAGGTTCGACTTTGTCCTTTGGGAGAACTATGTCGGGAGGTGAAGAATCATCAACTGTCGAGCCAACCGCTGTTGCAGAAGCAGCTCTCTGTTCTCGCACTGCTACTACAAGTAACAAAAATATACCCGAAATCAGAATGAGATCTTAACATCATGCAAAGCAAATGGAAAGAAACACTAATAATCATTTCGCCAAATAGACAAACTTGCTGTCAGGAAAATGCAGTTGGGAAAATAGGTAAAGAAAATCAGAACCATTGAGCAATAAATTGAACATACAAAGGCAAAGAAGCATTTTTAAAATATTACATTACAGTAATGCTACAGACCTAGACATAAAAACCCAAAAAATACTCAAAATTTCACATCAATAGCTCAGATTCATTTCATATGTGGACCCCACACTTCATCAATTCAATCTCCACCACCCAAACCCAATCCCAATTTTATAGTGTAGGCAATAGCACTGATACAATAAGGAAAGCACCAATATATACATATAAGAGGCTGATGAAAGCATAATTCAATGGTTATGATACATGTTTATGTGACAGAGGGGATTGATGATAGTAAAAATGGAGTTAAACTCATATAAGGATAGAACTAATAAGAGGCAAGACCACAGAACTGGTAATTTCATGTCTATTAAGTGACTAGAAATGCAATAAAAAAGGAAAGAACAAAGAGAACAATGGTAATGCCATCTTGATCACTGAAAACAACTTCGTTGGAGGCACAGAACAGAATGAACCCGAACCAGAAAACCCAGCAGCACAAACCCATGAAATGGACAACTCAAGAAAACCCAACTGTCGATTCAGCTAAAAAATGGAACAATCTCTCATAGGAAGTGCTCTCAACATATGATTCTGCTTGCCATCCAAGGACTGGAAAGCAATAACTAGGATTCTTCCAACCTGAAAATCCCAGCATGTTTTAAAAATAACCATGCTTCCACGTATTTTTATAAAATTTCCTTTTGACTTGTCAGTAACTACCAAAAACCTTATGCACATCTTCACTAAAACATGAAAATATTAGTCAAATGAACCCAGAATCTAGAAGTTGATACATGGCTTGCGTCCGCACATCTGAAGAAGACATAAAGATTTAGCAGATCTTATTTAAGTAGCTAATCATAGAACTACTGGCAAAAAATTAAAAAGAAAAGGTTTCAAATCAAGCCCCAAACATGAAGAATGAATGAAAGCATTGAAATGTTCAACCAACACATTTTATATTTAGAAACATTTAGATATTCACATAAAACATTGCGTTGTTAATTGACACTTACCAACATGGGAAGGAAGAACGGTGATGTGAGGATGTGAATGGTACCAACCAATTACTCTAGTTGTTAACTGCTATTATAATACTTCAGCAAAATGAAACTGGGGAAAAATCTACACAAAAAAATAAAATAAAAAATGAATGGCTATTAGAAGTGCAAAAATTGACCTTTCTATGATGAAGGCATAATCATTCATGTTGAAAAACAAATATAACTTATAATTATTCACATTTAGCAAACATAGTCTACTATGCATCAATAACATTATTTCTTCAAGGAAACCAAAGGTTATGTGGATGGAAGAGGGAGAGAGAAATACACACCATCAAAAACTCCACAGAGACCAACTATCTCTCCATTCACACCATCAATTCTTGTCTCATAAAAATCTTCCATTGTAGACCTTTTTCCAGGGGAGCTTGCATAACCATAGCTGAACTTTCCATTCTGACTACTTTCAGGTGACAAATTAAACACAATGTTAGACTCAGTCTTCTGCACTCTTATTTTTCGGAAAGAACTATAACATTGCAAAGAAGTATAAATTCCTTCAATTATTAAAACCACAATCGTCATACAACATCAACAAAAACTCCTGAACCGATGCAGTATTTAAATTGATCACAAGCCAATAGGTGAATGCTTATGCAACCACCAGAAACATTTTTTTATAAAAGTAATCCATTTATTCAATCATTGAGAGAGAAAAAGAGAACAGACAACAGACGGACAGAGACATATTTGCATGAGGAACTGTATGTAGAATCCTTTATCAGTACTTCAACATCAAATATAACTTATAATTATTCACATTTAGCAAACATAGTCTACTATGCATCAATAACATTATTTCTTCAAGGAAACCAAAGGTTATGTGGATGGCAGAGGGAGAGAGAAATACACACCATCAAAAACTCCAAAGAGACCAACTATCTCTCCATTCACACCATCAATTCTTGTCTCATAAAAATCTTCCATTGTAGACCTTTTTCCAGGGGAGCTTGCATAACCATAGCTGAACTTTCCATTCTGACTGCTTTCAGGTGACAAATTAAACACAATGTTAGACTCAGTCTTCTGCACTCTCATTTTTCGGAAAGAACTATAACATTGCAAAGAAGTATAAATTCCTTCAATTATTAAAACCACAATCGTCATACAACATCAACAAAAACTCCTGAACCGATGCAGTATTTAAATTGATCACAAGCCAATAGGTGAATGCTTATGCAACCACCAGAAACATTTTTTTATAAAAGTAATCCATTTATTCAATCATTGAGAGAGAAAGAGAGAACAGAGAATAGACGGACAGAGACATATTTGCATGAGGAACTGTATGTAGAATCCTTTATCAGTACTTCAACATCAAATATAACTTATAATTATTCACATTTAGCAAACATAGTCTACTATGCATCAATAACATTATTTCTTCAAGGAAACCAAAGGTTATGTGGATGGCAGAGAGAGAGAGAAATACACACCATCAAAAACTCCAAAGAGACCAACTATCTCTCCATTCACGCCATCAATTCTTGTCTCATAAAAATCTTCCATTGTAGACCTTTTTCCAGGGGAGCTTGCATAACCATAGCTGAACTTTCCATTCTGACTGTTTTCAGGTGACAAATTAAGCACAATGTTAGACTCAGTCTTATGCACTCTCAATTACTAAAACCACAGTCGCCATACAACATCAACAAAAACAGGAAATAAACCAAATTGAGAGAGAGAATGACAGCCCAAATAAAATTGAACTGAAAATACCAAAAGAACTTAAACATCACAACAAATCATAGATAAAACTACAAAAAAACACAGTTAATTAAAATTAGAAAATTTTAAAAAGGTGGTGGTGCTTCTTTCCTCGTACACTTCAAAACAAACATATGAAAAAACAAATGTTTTTTTTTAGAATAGTTACAAATATGATAAGGGACTTTACTCCCATGTCTTCTCCATTATCTCTTCTGTGAGAATAAAAAAAATGGCACAAAACCCATTTTTCTTTTTGTGCAACAGAGAACCTCAAAACATCACAACAACTCTGAATAAAGCAACTCTCCAATATATGGGTTGTCCTCAGATTCAGGCACTCAAATATAATACCCCAAAAACTCCATTTCATTGCAAAGAGAGACCCAATCTAGGAATGTTTGAGTTTTGTAGGTCGTAATTTGCAGACCCAAATTGAGATTTCTTCTTCCCCGAAAGATGGCGATAACCCGAAGGAGAAGCGCAACTGACAATTCCTCATTTTGATATACATATCAACCGGTGATTTAGAAATTCAGTGGGAAAAGAAAAACAGAGAGTGTGCAAGGGAAGGATTTGTGTCTTTAATTGTGATCCAAACAAAACCATTCTGTTATCGGGTTTGGATAATTTTGGGTCAAACTTCTCAGATAAGCTCATCATTAAATTTTTGGATATAGAAACAAAAAAAGAGCATAGTTTTTGGATATAGAAATGCTTACCAAATAAAGAAGAGAAGATCACACACATACTGCATAGAAACCAATGACATGAATTGAGAGATAAAAGAACATTTAATGAATACTACTAGCCTGACAACCCAAACACTAACAACTCAGCAGTATAAATTGGGAATATAGGATATCAAACAATCTTTGTAATTAGAAGCAAACCACAAGTGCAAATCCGCTAACCAGTAACATCAAATCGACAAAATCAGTATTAGGCGGAGAGGAAAGAGAGAGATATTTACATACCTATGTTGGAGAGCTCAGATCGTTTGATAGATTGCAGATCATTACAGAGCTTGAGAAAGTAGAGATAAAGAGGGAATGAGGTGGGTGAGAATAGAGAAGGGAGAGAGATAAAGGCCAATTACAGAGAGAGAGAGGAGAGAGAGAGAGAGAGATATTTACATACCTGTGTTGGAGAGCTCAGATCGTTTGATAGATTGCAGATCGTTACTGTTAAAATGTACCAAAACCTACCACCTACTACCACCTACTACACCTACTACCACCTACTACACCTACTCCACCTACCTACCTATTCTTCTCTTCTATATATAGGATCATTGTAATATAAAACATACAACAATCAATAATACATCAATTTTAACATGGTATCAGAGCTATAGGTTCAAGATCTTGGTGTTCTTCGCCTTCCGGCGGGCGGCAACCTTGCCTTGACCGCCCGCCGGGTCTCAACCAATTCAAACCTCTCTCTCTCTCACACACACACACACACAGTTCTCTCTCTAAAAAGATGGAGGACAGTTCGTCGAGGCAGGGCACCGTGACGTGTGCTTCGTGGATCCGGCGGCCGGAAAACGCCCATCTCATGGTGGTAGGAAAGGCCAGGCACCGTGATCAATCCTCGCTCATCGAGATCTTCTCCTTCGATTCCAAGACCTCCTCTCTCTCTTCCGAACCCTCGGCTTCACACGTGATTGAAGAAGGGGACCCTGTCAGCATCGCCGTGCACCCAAGCGGGGACGACTTCGTTTGCTCTATCACCACTGGTGGCTGCAAAGTGTTCGCGGTGTACGGTCATAAAATGTCGGCCAAAGAATTTGTTCCTCTCCAAGGTAGTGGCTTTCAGAAATGCCTAGCTTTTAGTGTTGATGGATCTAGATTTGCTAGTGGTGGAGAGGACGCGCATCTCAGAATCTTTGAATGGCCAAGCTTGTGTGTCATTTTAGATGAACCAAGAGCTCACAAGTCCTTCCAAGATATGGATTTTAGCCTAGACTCAGAGTTCTTAGCTACAACATCTACTGATGGTTCTACAAGAATATGGAAGACAAATGATGGTAGGTTTCGCACTGCGGAGGACCCCAGCTTTCCTATTGACTGAACGCTGGCGCTGCTCCACCTATCCACCAACTTTCTCTTCATCCAACTATCCACCAACTTTTGTCCCCCTCTTTTCCTTTCTTTTATTTTATTATTGTCCGCCCACTCTTCTTTTATTTAAACACAATGCCTCTCACATGTTTTCATCCACCAGCTTTAACCCTTCATTATATCTTCATATTTGTTTCATCTATCACACATCCACCGCCCACATCCCTCACTTTCTTTAAACCCATCTTTTCTTTTATTTTAATATCTATATATATCTTAAACTAATGAACCATAAAACCAAAACCATGTGCTGGTTCCACCCACGCTATTTCACACTTTTCTTTTAATATATATATATATATATATATATATAAACAATAAAAAAATAATAAAAATTAAAAAAATCACACCGATGTTTTTCATATGACCCATCCACAAATATTTTTATCTATTTTCTTTATCCGTTGTTTTATTTTATTTTATTTTTATTCTTAAACAAAACAACAACACAAAATAACACCAACCACATTCCACAAACTTGTCATTTCTTCATGCCGGGGATCAACCCCGATCACAATTTTACACAAAACAAAAAAAAAAAACAAAAACAAAAAACAACAACCACATCCACAGGAGGGATTTTTCTTTTCCCTTCTCTACTCTACTGCAGGTCTCTTCTTCTTGCCTCCGTCCTGGACGGCCCTTGCCGGTGTTGCCTCCGTGTTTTCCATGCCACCGCGCACATTCACTCCCCCCTGCTCCTCCACTGCAGCATATGGCGGACCTCCAAATCGGAACATAACGGTGGCCTTCCGCTTCAGCTCCTTATTTTCCGCCTTTAGCACACTTATCTCTGCTCGCGCATCCTTATACATGCGTTGGAGCAGAGCCAGTTGGGCGTTTAACTGCTGCACCTCATTTGTCCTACTCTGCAGCCGGTGCGACAAGTTTGTGACCGCCGTCATGGTCTCCACACATGACTTCAATGTATACTGATTGGCCTCAATATCCGTTTGCACTGCCATTTTTTGCTCCACAGACCGCATCGGAAAGTTCAACGGAGCAAAACCAGCAGTGTTTGGTTGAGGTTCACGGGCCACCACACCAGTTATCTCTCTTGTTGACTCGTTGAGGTCTGGAAAGAGAGTGAGCAGACCACGGGAAGACGAAGCCATTTTCTGGGCAACAGAGTGTTACAGAGTATCTTTCTCAGCAAAACGAAGAGTTTTTCAAAGGTTTTTCGCAGGTCTTTGTCTCTGCCTCAGCCTCAGCCTCCGTCTTGGTTAAATAGCCAAGGCAGACACGCGCATCATGCGCCGCTCGGCGCTCGACGACACCTTGGCACGCCTTTTGATGGCACGCCTTTTTATGAATTGGGCACGCCTTTTGATGGCACGCCTTTTGAAAGATTGGGCACACCTTTTGAGGGTGCGACTTTTACAACGGTCCGACATGACCCCATAAACTGTTCAGTGTCCTCTACAACGTTATGACACAACCATCCAATGTCCTCTACCACGTTATGACACAACCATCCAGTGTCCTCTACAACGTTATGACACAACCATCCAGTGTCCTCTACAACGTTATGGCACACCCATCCAGTGTCTTCACCCACGGTCTGACACGCCCATACAGTGTCTCCTATCCTCTTTTATTTTCTGTATTAGTCTATTTTCTTGTTTTGCTACTCTCTCCAAACTCAAGTTGGTTAGTTCCTATCCCCCTTGAGTTTGCGGGGGGCTGTTAAAATGTACCAAAACCTACCACCTACTACCACCTACTCCCACCTACTACACCTACTACCACCTACTACACCTACTCCACCTACCTACCTATTCTTCTCTTCTATATATAGGATCATTGTAATATACAACATACAACAATCAATAATACATCAATTTTAACAGTTACAGAGCTTGAGAGAGTTCCATAGCTTGCAGATCACAGAGAGATAAAGAGGGAATGGGGTGGGTACGAACAGAGAAGGGAGAGGGATAAAGATAGAAGGGAGGGGAAACGTAAACAAGCGGGAAAATGAGAAGACGTGGGTAAGTAGGAAGCTCAGTCTTTGGGCGGGAAGTAAGTGCAGATATATATTGATATATATTTAAGGGGTCATCTCAGCCATCTATCTAAATGAATCATAACCATTGAAATGTCCTAGTAGAACAATTGTCTCTAACATATTTTCAAAAACCTTTGTGCCTTATTATATAGATTTCTTTTACAATGTATTTTTTTATTATTTTTTGGATGAATCAAATATAAATATTAAAAATTAAAAAAAATATCATATTATTTCATTTCATTTAATAAACTTAGTAAAACATTAGAGTCAAAGTCATACGGCATTTTACAATGGTACATGTATATTTTCGGTGGGCTTACACTTTGGTCTCATGTGGGTTTATATCAAAAGGGAAAGGAGGAAAGAGGGGAACGCAGAAGAGAAGAAAGATGAGGGGAAGTAGCAGAGGGCAACGCAGAAGAGAAGAAAAATAAGAGGAGATTACTGTGGCAGAGAGAAGAGGTGTCAGTTGTGTTTTGTGGCTGAGAATAAAGGAGACGAATATAGAGGAAGGAAGAAAAAAAGGAAGAGGAACAAAGGAATTTGAATTGAATGTTTGGTGTTGGACACATGGTAGTAGAGAAACACTGGATGGGAAAATGGGACACGGAACTAGAATAGGCGATCCCATACCTATAAATGACATAATTCAATTTTTTTTTAGGGTCCCTGATATTAAAATTTTATAGTATAAAGGACATTTAATATTTTCATAATGTCTAAGGTCCCTCAACATTGAACCAGAGATATTTCAGTTTAGAGAAATTCCAGCTCAGAGAAATTTCAGCCCAGAGAAATTTCAGCTCAGAGAAATTTCAGTCCAGAGAAATTTCAGCCTAGAGAGATTCTATTCAGAGAAATTCTGGGCTTCTAAAGAATTTCTCTCGGTTCAGAACTTTGAACATTCAAATTTCTCTGGATCTATGGACTAACATAAAAAAAAAAACTACAATATCAGCAGCCCTCAAAATGACACACCATTTGCCTTCATTTGCACTTTGAATGAACACGCATCAACAATGTAGAAGGTGATCAATCTTGTAATCAGACATGACAAAGTGAATGCATAAAAATCCATAACATAGTACTCATTCTTAAATGTTAAAATTAGTGCCTTTGATTTTATCCAAAATGCAAACATAAGAACTTCTAACTAATTTCTTCACTTCGCACCACACCAGATGCTTATTTTAACAAAACTAGCTCATTCCTTGTTTTCCATAAAATCCACAAGATTGCCATGGAATTGTTTCCCAAATTAATTTCTTCACCTGTTTGAATTTGCAGCGTTACCACCATGGGTTTGTTTACATGGTCCAAAGAAATTCTTTGGTTTAGACTGAATTTTCTTTGGTTTGAACTGAATTTTCTTTGGATTGGTCCAGAGAAATTCTCTGATTTAAACTGAATTTTCTCTGGGTTGGTCTGAATTTTCTCTGGGTTGGTTCAGAGAAATTCTCTAGTTTGGACTGAATTTTCTCTGGGTTGGTCCAGAGAAATTCTCTGGTTTGAATTGAATTTTTTCTGGATTGGTCCAGAGAAATTCTCTGGTTTGGTCCATAGGAGAAATTTGAACAACCAAAGATATATACCTATCAAAATATATAATCATACACTACATCAGTTTATACATACACACACATACAAGTGTATATATATACACACATACAAATGTATATATATACACTCCGACGATAACCCATCTGGGTCCTTCGTCAAACGCATGAGCGCAACAGCCAAGGAAATCATACGCAAGTACTTGAAGAAAGTGAAGCCATTGTATGAAAAGTTATCGCAAAAATAGAATCAGAAAATGGGAAATGTGTCCGATTTGGGGGGTGAAAATTGATGGATCTGTGAAGGAGAGAGAAACAAATGTAGTACCCATTGTTGAGAACTCGAGGAAGGACAACAATGGCGTCCTCTCGCATTCATTTTCGAGGAATTTGGGGTACCCGAGAAACAGAATAAGCATTGTTTCAAGTTGTCCATCGTCGATGCGATTCAATGAGTGTGTTGTAATTTCATCAATGATCGATCAGCAGATGACCGATCGGTTGACTGGCCGTTGGATACCAACCCAGCTGCCATTGATGTAAGGGGGAGAAAGAGAGAGAGGGAGCAGAGAGTGAGAAAAGAGAGACCAAACTTAGTTTTTGAAGATAGTTTTGAAACCCCTTCGTTTCTTCTAAAATTTGTCTGTGATATATGGGTTTGGTGTTGAAGGACCTTAGACATCATAAATTAACATTGTGGATTTCTTCCATTATTAAAAGTGTGAGAGGGACCTTAGACTAATTTTCCCAACTAGAATAGGTGATCCCATACCTATAAATGACATAATTCAATATTATAAGGGTCATAATTAAAAAAGTAAATCACAAACACACCTCTTAAGATTTACTTAAATTATAAATTATTCTTTGTAATTTTAGAAATTACATTATATCCATTAAGGTTTTTAATTTCATAACAAATAAGTCCTTTTATTAATAAATTATCAAGTTAATTAACAATTTTTAATAATGTTAAAATTTTATTTCAATTAATAATTCACATAATTTTATTATTATATAGGTAAACAGTTAAAAATTTCACTTTTTCAATTAATTATACTAAATAAAAAAATTCTGACAGGAAGGTATTTGTAATTTTTCAAACTACAGGAGACAATTTGTATTTTAAACAAATCTCATGGATGTATTTGTAATTTACCATAATTAAAAAATATTGAGTTATAACAAAATATCACATTAAGTATAACTAAATAACTTTAAGATTATAATTAAAATAATATCATAATCAATATTACAATATATCATAATTAACAATACAATATGTTATAATTAAAAACACAAAATCACAACTAAAAATACATATAAAACACGCCAGTAGGAAATAGAATTTCCCTTCTTTTTTTCTGTTTACCTTTTTTAGCACGGGAACCATTTTTTTTTTCTTTTGTTCGTTCTTTAGAAATTGAACTACCCAAACCTCTTGAATCACTTGACTCTTCTGTTCAGTTTCCTTAATTCCACCTACACTCTTTTATTTTATTATTTTACTACAATTATGAAAGACTTTTTTTTTGGTTCTTTAAAAATCGAAATACGTGAACCTCTTGAATCACTTGACTTCTTTCGGTTCCACCTACTCTTTTAATTTTATTATTATTATTATTATTTTGTTGAGAAAGTATTATGAAAGACAAGAGTCTACCTTCATTGAAGTGCTGTCCCTCAACTAGTGTATGGTTATTTTTCCTCACTGAAAAAGTATAAACATATGCCAAATAGAAAATTCATTTAGAAAAATTATTAGACAAATTAATACATTTTACATTCTATTTTATTTTTAATTTTATTTTTGTACAAATTGATGCATCATGAAATAAAAAAAAAAAATTACAATTTAAAACAGTATCCACTTTCATAAATGTGATAGGTTTCATGGTAATTGATATATTATATAATAAAGAAACTTTATAATTTAAAGCATGACTTTTTTTTTCCTTTAGATGGAGAAAACCTGAAAGTCAAACTACAAAATTCCAACAATATCTTGCAACACAAGCAGGTGAAGAGAGGGAGAGATATCCTCCATCCAAACCTGTGATGACAATAAATGAATAACTAGTCTAGCCAAACCATGAGTAATAATGTTACATTTCCTATGAACATGAGAGACAAACTATGAGCGAAAGTTGCAAAGAGCTTGAACTACCTCAAGCATGACTTACTTTAATAATGTAATAAGTGTGAGTAATTAAAAATTTTAAAATTTGTTGAGAAAGTGTCTTTTTTAGCGATTTTTTTTTTTTTTTTGGGCTAAAACATGACCTGGAAAAGATTTAAAGTGTTCGAGAATAATTTTTTAATTTTTTATAAAAAAAGAAAGTTTAAAAAGTATAGGGAATGGAAATGAATTTTTGATTTTTTTATATAATTTTTTTGATTTTTTTATAACTTTTTAACTAAAGTGTTCAATTCCCAAATTGACCTTAGTAGTTTGTGCAATATTACTCTATATTTACTTTGTGTAATTTTAAAAAGAATATATCCAATTTGGAAAAGATTGTGATATATACACCTTTACTATAATAAAAATAAAAAAGGTACCTTATGCAAATTATGTTATTTGTGAATTTTTTATTGTCACAAATGACATAACTCAATACTATAAGATCATGTTTGTTTGACTCCATGGATGGAGGGATTAGACTACCAATCCTGTAGGCCCTATGTAGTACCCTCACATAGGGAGATTAGCTTGGCTAGATTTTGGACGGGATTTAGGAAAAAAAAAAATGAGGGGATTGAGTCTATTTTATATAAAAAAAATATTTTTTTTTAATATAGAAATAATTTATTTATTCATTTTATATAAAAATAATTTAATAATTTCATCACTAATCATCTCTCACACTATCATCAAAATAAACACACTTTTACTTAATCATGTCATTAACAATTCCCACATTAATAATCTCTTCAATAACAATCCTTTCACTAATAATTTCATTCAACCTAATCTGTTAAACAAACGTGGCATAAGAGCCTTAATAAAATCATTTCACTAATAATTTCATTCAACCTAATCTGTTAAACAAACGTGGCCTAAGAGTCTTAATAAAAAAAAAATTGAATTATAACTAAATATCACATGGTATATAACTAAATAATTTAAGAATCATAACAAAATAATAATATTATAATCAAAATCATAATATATCATAATTAATAATATGATAAATCATAACAAAAAAATACAACCATCATAACGAAAAGTACTTCTAGCCTGTACCCAGCATATAATTTTCCTTTCTTTTTAAGATTGGACCATGTGAACCTCTTGAATCACTTGACTTTTGTGTGCACTTTCCTTTCACCTATTACTACTATTATTATTATATTATATTATATTATATTTTTTTAATGAGGCAACTAGGCCTATAAGAGGAACAAGCCGCTGGTGCTGCTGGGAAGTATGCAGAGAGAGAGAGAGGGACGTAGATAATCGATGGAGAATGAACATTTCCTCCGGACAGAAAATCGTGTGGTTGATTTTATGATCCGTGACTTTCCTCCCAATTTCAAATCATATGTGAAGAATAAGCAACTGTTATGCCAGCAAGGAATCTGGGAGCGTGGCTGGGTTTTTTGGAGAGGAGAAGAAGACCCTCGCGAACGTCCTCCTCCGCCGCCTCCCTTCTCCGGTTAGTTTCTCTCTCATCTCATATTACTTACTGGTTGGATTTCACTCCAATTATTCTCTATTTAACCACTGTCTTATTAAAACACTTACTATTAATTTTCTTTTTCTTTTTTTAATTAAAAAATGTAATTTAATTTTTGTTAGTTTTATCTCTGAGAAAATCCCAACTCCGGTTGTCAGTGTTAAAATATAGGGAAAATATCGAATAGGTGAGACAAAACAAAACGTTAATATATAGCATTTCTAACCTGTGCTTAAGTAGTAGGTATGTTAACAAATTTTTTATATATAGATTAGATTTAGTAGATTCCCACTTTCTTTTCTTGTTGCTTACCTTACCCTTACTCTGCCTTGTATTTTTTTTTTTTTTTTTTCTTGGAAATTTGCAAAATCGTACAGAGATAATCAATGGAACCCTGAATGCTCCTCCTATTCCACAGTTTATGGAGAAGATAAAATCCCACTTTAAATGGGTAGTATGTTTGCGGGGTGGTACACAATTTCTTATACAGTTTTGGAAAGTCATAGAAATTGAGGGCAAGCGTTTACTTACAACTCGACACCAACCTTTTGGTTTTGACCACATCAATGAAGGACTTTGTGGGTATAGGTTGATATCTTTGGATTATGAATTTGATGTGGATGGAGTGAGTGACGAACATCTTGGCCTCCTTGGCCGTGTGTTCTGCCATCAACTGCTGGAGTCTACTCCAAATGTGCAGTATTACTCCCGCAAAGAGTACCCACAGCGCGATCGTGCTATCAGTTGCAATATTAAGCTGTCTCTGGCTGTACCGTTGTTTGAACCTTCTACGCGGTGCTGTATTGGTGTAATTGAGATGGTGTCGACAACTGAAATAACAAATAGAAATTTGAAGATTTTCCGTTATAGGCAAATGTTGAGGTTTGTCCCCGAACTCCCTAATTGGAATAACCAATCCCATTTTTACGTTCTCTTTGTCCCCGAACTCCCTAATTGGAATAACCAATCCCATTTTTACGTTCTCTTCCGTACTTTTGTTTATTTATTTATTTATTTTTTAAACCCATCCAATGATTGTTAATTTTAATTTTAATTTTCAATGATGGTTTCTTCTTCTTTTTCTTATTTCTTTTTGTTGATGGAGCTCAAATTATTTTACTAGTTGGTTCAATTTTACTGGACAATATTTTTAATGGTTCGTTAATCTTACCCTTTCATTCATTTCATTGTGTAAATCATTTAACATGGAGTTCGACAACAATTTTTATGCACGTGTTGAGCTTTTTATTCTACTATCATATCATTGACATTAATCATTTGAGTAAATTATACTAATCTCTCATGAGGGAAATAGATAGTTTCATTATGATGCCCAAGGGCTAACAAAAAAATATGTCTTATTGTTAGCTTAGTTAACCTTATCATTAATTTAAGGAAAATTGATGTAATTATAACAAAAATATAAGAATTATTAGTTTATTTTTTCACCTCTCGAGGGAGGTGAGTAGAATTTACCTAATTGTTTATGGTAGCCCCATTTACTAGGCAATACAGATTTCTGCTCAAAGTGTTGGACCAATTGAAATATTCCATGCCAGGGTAAGGTGCACCTATCCAAAACAACGAAGCTGATTTTGGACAATTATACAATACCTTGGTGCAACCTAAGTTGGTCGGTTTAATAGCCTCAACTGTGCTATTTTTTCATTTACCGTATGCAATGTTTTGGTATTATTATTTATAAATCAACTTATTTACTTAAAAAAGGTTGACTGATAATGTTTGGTTATAATTTTAAATTATAACTTAGTTGATTTATTCAGTTTATTTGAACCCACGCCCCGCGGCCCAGGCAAAAGTTAGAGCAAGAGAAAAATACAAAAAGAAAGATTGAAAAAGAAAAAAAAAAGCAAGAAAAGAAAAAACAAAAAAAAAAAAAAAAAAACGAAAAAAAGAAAAGAAAAGAAAAAAACTTGAATAAGTTTGGCTAAAAGAGTCTCATTTCTTGTCCTAATTACTTGGGGGAAAAAAAAGGTTATGTGACAATTTATTTGATCAAACAAATTCAATTTTTCCTCACAAATTATCAAAAGTTGCACCAAATAAATTTATAATTTTTTTTAATTATTTTTAGCTAATAATGTAAAAGACAATAGTCATAAAAGATGACTTATAAGTGATAATACTTGGTTCTTGCAAATATCTTTCAGTTTAAATCTATCAACATTCTTCAATTATATCATTTCAGTGGGCTGCAAGTTGAAGGTCTGAGAATTTCAAATTGTGAGCATTCGTATGATAGGAAAGTAAGTGGCAAACTATAATTGAAATGTCCAATCTTGTATTGTTTTGTTCATTAGATATTGTAACGACTCTGGGCTAACAAATATGTATTCGTGAACTATTATCAGGACAAGGATGAAACTCTTGAAGAAATCAAGAAGATGGAAGACGTGATGCGTAGCATTCATCATCTACCTTTGGCTCAGACTTGGGCCTCATGTAGGCTTTGCAATGCTGTGTTCATAATTCATAATGGAGTGTACAATTTGGATGATTTTTTAGATGCATGTGATTTACATCACCTACGAAAAGGGCAGGGGGTTGTTGGGAGAGCAATTTCGTCTCAAAATTTGGTCTTCTGCAAAGATGTTACTCAATTTAGCATAACTGAGTACCCTTTGGCACACTATGCACGCAAATTGGGACTTACAGGTTCTTTTGCAATTTGTTTGTGGAGTAATTATATTGAAGACAATGTTTACGTGCTAGAATTCTTTTTGCCCCCAAACTACTGTGAAGGTGGGGATCCTAGGATTGCTCTGGTTCCGTTATTGACAACAATGAAGCGACATTGTAAAAGTTTTAAGGTTGCTTCTGGAGAAGAACTAGGAGAGGAGTTATCTATTGAAGTTCTTGATTTTTCAGAGGATGGTAAACTTTATTCTTATCAAATACCCGAAACTGCAAGATCTCCAAATAGGATGGACAAAGGAGAAAAGATGGTGTTTCTAGATTTATCTGATCAACAATTACCAAAAGTGGATGTTATAGACACTGGAAACAATGTTGTTACTAACCCAGAAGAAACCAATATTGTTGTTACTTCTGTACAGCAAAATTGCATAGTTAACTTGTCCCAGAGGCTACAAAGAAAAGCTGGAATTCCAATTAGCTTGGAGGATCTCCAGCAACGTTTTGGAATGAAACTTAAAGATGCTGCAGAAAGCCTTGGCGGTAAGCTTACATACTTGGGATACCCGTTCCTAGTTGGATCCTTTGGAAAATTCATATACTTTTGGTAGTAGTAAACAAAGTACAAATTCTTATATAGAATTTGGATTTTTCATTTTGCAGTTAGCCGATCTACAGTGAAGCGTGTTTGCAGGGAATATAATATCACCTGGTGGTCACCTTGCAAGAGAAGTAAGGATAACCAATCGCTTTCCAATAAACTTGTCCAAGGTGTTGTTCAGGAACAAATCCTAGTATCTAGTCAGCCTCAAATTTCTAATCCACCTCATATGCAAGACATGGCTATTGCTTCTCGCACAAAGCCACATTTTATAGCAGCGCAAGACACAAGTATTGTGACCATAAAGGCAAAATATGGAGATTATTTTATTAAATTTCAGCTCCCTGTGTTGTCGGGAATGCTAGAGTTTCAACAGCAAGTGGCAAAGAGGCTGAACCTACAGGGTGGAACTTACCGCGTCAAGTATCAAGATGAGGACAATGACTGGATTTTAATAGTTTGCGACGACGACTTGCAAAATTACATTTGCAATTCGATATCACAAGGGAGGAATACAGTCACGATGTCGATTCAGCTAATTACTAATTGCCCCTCTTAAATCCGTACTTAATGTCCATCTATCATTTTAGCTGCATGTGGAATTCTCTATTTTACATTTAAAAGACAATTCGAGGTTTGTATCTTGTATGCTTGTTACAAGTTTGTATGAATTTTATGTATTGCATGTTGTCTACTTAATAGGGCTGAGTAAGGAATCCGTGAAATTCGTAATCCGATCCAGTCCAGTCCAATCCAGTAGGTTTGGATTGGTTTTTTGAATCCGTGGTTTGGTTTCGAATTAAAGAATTAAAAATCCGTAGTCTACGGATTGGTTCCGAATTGAACCCCACGGTTCCGGATTGGAACCAATTCGAACCGTATACAAATAGTCTATATTTTTATTATACATCCTCCTCCATAGTATCTTCTCTTATTGCATATAAAACCTAAATTCAAACCTAAACCCGCATAATATCTTTTTTTATTACTTTTATTTATTAGTTTTTAGTTTTAATTTGTAATAGTCTAAATACTTATGGTGAAATCAGTTTTCTTATGGTTGTTTAAATTCTAGAACAGTATGTCGCTATTATAGAAAGACATGTTACTATTGTGGAACAAATATAGCGCTATGTTTATGTTTTTATGAAATTAAAGTGTTATATATATATTTTTTATTATTTAATTATGCGAATCCGTGGTCCTAAACCGATCCAATCCGTATTTATATGGATTGGTTCGAATTGGTTCCATAATTTAAACGGATTGGATTGGTTTTAATTTTTCAGAAACCGTAGATAACGGATTGATTCTGGTTTTATCCCAATTCGGTCCTATGTCGCTATTATAGAAAGACATGTTACTATTGTGGAACAAATATAGCGCTATGTTTATGTTTTTATGAAATTAAAGTGTTATATATATATTTTTTATTATTTAATTATGCGAATCCGTGGTCCTAAACCGATCCAATCCGTATTTATATGGATTGGTTCGAATTGATTCCATGATTTAAACGGATTGGATTGGTTCTAATTTTTCAGAAACCGTAGATAACGGATTGATTCTGGTTTTATCCCAATCCGGTCCAATCCGGACCATGCTCACCCCTACTACTTAATTGATTGTATAATATAATTCAAATTTGTCAGTTAGATTGTAAAAAATTCTTAATCTTAGGGCATGGTATTGTTTTAATCTTAAATTTGGAAAAAAAGAAAAAGTAGAAGAAACAAAAGTTAAAAATTCAATATTCAAATACAACACAAGTGACATTTGTAAATGACTACACTTGCAAATGACTAAATTTTATTCTAGTCATTACAATTCCGTATAGTCTAAATTACATTTAGCACTCTTAATTCTCACGAAATAGCAGGCTCTACATACCCAAAACACAATTATCTACCATTTACAATCTAAGACCAAAATGCATTCATGGAGTGATCCTACAACAACATTAAATCTACAGCTTAAAATTCTATCAATTTTTTATTGTTTTATCTGGTTTTATAAACAATTTTACTTTAATTCTTTCACTTTCATTTGATGAGAATCAACCTCTTACATTTTAAATCAAGTTACAATATGACTTCTATCCACTAGACTTTAAGAGGCTAAAATATTTTTTCTTATTTACATTTCTTCTACTTAATAAAACACATAATTTTCAAAATAATTCTCCAACAAGTGAAGCTCACACACAAAAGTGCCACCTTTCTATTACACACACACATATACATACATACATATATATATATATATATAGAGAGAGAGAGAGAGAGATTTCTCTTCCATAGATAAAACCACTTGTTGCTGAACTTGTCACATATATTTTGAAACTTGAATATTGACAATTTGGGCATTCCGTATCACATTTAGAGTGTCCTCTGCATTTTAGATAGGTGTACAAAAATTGATAAAATGGAGGTGCGAAGGCATAATTGAAGCTGGCTGCTAACTGGCCCTGAAAATGCTGATGGACCAACCATGTAAATATACAAATCGGAGGATACACACATTTTCATAAACAAATTCTGGCAGCAGTGAAGGCAGTGTCAGCTGCAGCGGCACCACATGTAACATGGAATAACTGGCACAATTCATGATTATGAATATCGGGGGAGATGCAACCGACATATTATCCTCCACATCACCGCTAGTAAGGTTTCCTGCTGCTTTAGTACAGACTGATCAAGGAGCATGTTTCTGAATTCGGAAACTAGGTTTTGAGCGATCATTCGCAGATTGGGCTGCTGCCAGCTCTTTCATGGCTTCCTTTTCTAATTTCTTCTTTTCAGCATCTGCCTGCTGCTCATTCTCGTCACGTGCTTTATTGAACATCTTAACAAAGACAGCCAAGATTTGTGTGACTGCAGGCAGAAACCGAAAAAATTAACAAAAATTTTTCTAACTATTATTTAACTTAGTTAAATTAATGGGAACTTAAACATTTCATAGAAGACAAGACCAACAAAATAAATAAATTCCATAGCTATTTCTTCTAGAGGTTATGTGGCCACATTGACATGCCTAATTATTTTTCATGCAAATTTTTTTTTTTTTTTTGCCAAGGATTCTAATTGTTTAAGATAAAGCAATTGCATTTGGCCACTTTGGTCTAATGCTCAATGTAAAGTTTATTTGTATGTGATGGTTAACATAGAATTTAACTAGATGAAATAATCCAAAAAAACCATCATGGTCTCAGAACTCATTGCTTATTCTGTGTCCACAAGTTGTATGCGCTCAAAATTACAATTTAAGATGTTGTTGTAACCAACAATATGATAGTATACACCCAATTCTTCATATTAAATTCACATACTATACTCATAATTAGAAAACTAAGTTACCTAGAATGTGGATTGTGGATTGTTCTGATACGTGGAACGGGAACAGCATATGCCACATGCTCTCTAAAATGTGGCACAGTATGGAGGACTTATATAAAATACTTTATTAAAATTCAAGGTGTTTCTATATTGAATTCTTTTTTCTTTTTTTTTTTCCTTCAAATTAATCATGTTATAACACATTTATATGAGCATTATAACCAACTATTCATGGTTTTTCCTGGCAAAACTTTCCTCTCCTTAGATTTTAGCTCACTATATTTGATTTTTTTTCCTCCCAAGGAAACTGTTTAGGAAATATATTGGAAAAAAAATTTGTTATCAATTTGGATATATCCTTTCGGAAAGAAAATATACCATGTTTCAAAACATACGTTCCAAAACCTAAATCTCTAAGGTATTAGCCTTTTTTGGTAACACTGGTAGAAATATTTCAATGAAGTTTGGCTCTCAACCAAATTAGCCTGACTCATGCAATGAAATATGTTAGCATTTTCACTTCCATCATCTAATCTAAACCTACATACATATACATCTCTAACATAATCCTTGTGGCAGATCAAAAGAAATGTAGTGAACTTCCCTACTTGACAGCAACAGAAAATTAAGTACAAAAATAAAACCAAACCTTGTTCAAAAGGGCACCTAGCTGGATCCTCCCCAAAATACTGAGACAATGAATCTGCACTTCTTCCCTGCAAGATAAATGTGTCAGTAAACTTAACTAAGCAAGAACTTGCAGATTTTAACTAAAGAAAAAAACGAAGGCTCACCACTTCAGAGTACAAGGAGATAAGTGACCTTACTTCAGCTTCAGCAGTATCAAGGAAATTCTTCAAGGCCTGAAAGGTCGAGTACTGATTCTTAACTTTGCATTAAAAACAAACATTTTTTTTTTCTTTTTGTAATTCTACTCCTATGCAATTTAAAGACTCGGCATTTGAAATCAAGGAGAAGCGATAGATAACAGAGACCATAATAGTTTCAAGGAAAAAACAACAAAATTCCATAACCAGAAAACACAAGCTCACATGACAGGAATCTAAAACATACGAACAAATGATGCTGTTAAGATTCTTGTGCAAGCCATATGGATATGATTTCATTAATGCCTCGTTTGGGAATAAGCTATTTTAGTAACTTTTTGGCTTTTTTGGCTAAAATTTGAGGCAAAAAAAACTAGTATGTTTAGAATGACTTTTTGATTTTTTACAAAAAGATGTGCAAAAAGTAGAGAGAAAAATGAATCTTTGACTTTTTGGTATAGGTTATAGGCTTTTTGATTTTTTTAGTAATTTTTTGACTTTTAGAATTATTTGGGGTATGCCAAACCAGGCCTTAATCAAATAACTTTTTCAGAAGATCCAAAAATCCTACACATTTTCCTCTTTGTCTGTCCCAAAATTTGGTCTTCTGCAAAGATGTTACTCAATTTAGCATAACTGAGTACCCTTTGGCACACTATGCACGCAAATTTGGACTTACAGGTTCTTTTGCAATTTGCTTGCGGAGTAATTATGTTGAAGACAATGTTTACGTGCTAGAATTCTTTTTGCCCCCAAACTACTGTGAAGGTGGGGATCCTAGGATTGCTCTGGTTCCGTTATTGACAACAATGAAGCGACATTGTAAAAGTTTTAAGGTTGCTTCTGGAGAAGAACTAGGAGAGGAGTTATCTATTGAAGTTCTTGATTTTTCAGAGGATGGTAAACTTTATTCTTATCAAATACCCCAAACTGCAAGATCTCCAAATAGGATGGAGGGTGGAGAAGAGATACTATTTCTAGATTTATTCGATCAACAATTACTAGAAGTGGATGCTGTAGACACCAAAAACAATGTTGTTACTAACACAGAAGAAAACAATTTTGTTGTTACATCTGTACAACAACATTGCATAATTAACTCGTCCCAGAGGCTACAAAGAAAAGATGGAATTCCAATTAGCAGGGAGGATCTCTAGCAACGTTTTGGAATGAAACTTAAAGATGTCGCAGAAAGCCTTGGCGGTAAGCTTACATACTTGGGATACCCATTCCTAGCTGGATCCTTTGGAAAATTCATATACTTTTGGTAGTAGTAAACAAAATATATTTTCTTATCAAGAATTTGGATTTTTCGTTTTGCAGTTAGCCGATCTACAGTGAAGCGTGCTTGTAGGGAATATAATATCACCTGGTGGTCACCTAGTAAGAGAAGTAAGTTTCATTTTGCAGTTAGCCGATCTACAGTGAAGCGTGTTTGCAGGGAATATAATATCACCTGGTGGTCACCTCGCAAGAGAAGTAAGGATAACCAATCGCTTTCCAATAAACTTGTCCAAGGTGTTGTTCAGGAACAAATCCTAGAATCTAGTCAGCCTCAAATTTCTGATCCACCTCATATGCAAGACATGGCTATTGCTTCTCGCACAAAGCCACATTTTACAGCAACTCAAGACACAAGTATTGTGACCATAAAGGCAAAATATGGAGATGATTTTATTAAATTTCAGCTCCCTGTGTCGTCCGGAATGCTAGAGTTTCAATAGCAAGTGGCAAAGAGGCTGAACCTACAGGGTGGAACTTACCGCGTCAAGTATCAAGATGAGGACAATGACTGGATTTTAATAGTTTGCAACGACGACTTGCAAAATTACGTTTGCAATTCGATATCACAAGGGAGGAATACAGTCACGATGTCGATTCAGCCAATTACTAATTGCCCCTCTTAAATCCGTACTTAATGTCCATCTATCATTTTAGCTGCATGTGGAATTCTCTAGTTTACATTTAAAAGACAATTCGAGGTTTGTATCTTGTATGCTTGTTACAAGTTTGTATGAATTTTATGTATTGCATGTTGTCTACTTAATTGATTGTATAATATGATTCAAATTTGTCAGTTAGATTGTAAAAAATTCTTAATCTTAGGGCATGGTATTGTTTTAATCTTAAATTTGGGAAAAAAGAAAAAGTAGAAGAAACAAAAGTTAAAAATTCAATATTCAAATACAACGCAAGTGACATTTGTAAATGGCTACAATTGCAAATGACTAAATTTTATTCTAGTCATTAGAATTCCGTATAGTCTAAATTACATTTAGCACTCTTAATTCTCACAAAATAGCAGGCTCTACATACCCAAAACACAATTATCTACCATTTAAAATCTAAGACCAAAATGCATTCATGGAGTGATCCTACAACAACATTAAATCTACAGCTTAAAATTCTATCAATTTTTTATTGTTTTATCTGGTTTTATAAACAATTTTACTTTAATTCCTTCACTTTCATTTGATAAGAATCAACCTCTTACATTTTAAATCAAGTTACAATACGACTTCCGTCCACTAGACTTTAAGAGGCTAAAATATTTTTTCTTATTTACATTTCTTCTATTTAATAAAACACATAATTTTCAAAATAATTCTCCAACAAGTGAAGCTCACACACAAAAGTGCCACATTTCTATTACACACACACATATACATACATATATATATATATATATATATAGAGAGAGAGAGAGAGAGATTTCTCTTCCATAGATAAAACCACTTGTTGCTGAACTTGTCACGTATATTTTGAAACTTGAATATAGACAATTTGGGCTTCTGTATCACATTTAGAGTGTCCTCTGCATATTAGATAGGTGTACAAAAATTGATAAAATGGAGGTGGGAAGGCATATTTGAAGCTGGCTGCTAACTGGCCCTGAAAATGCTGATGGACCAACCATGTAAATATACAAATCGGAGGATACACACATTTTCATAAACAAATTCTAGCAGCAGTGAAGGCAGTGTCAGCTGCAGCGGCACCACATGTAACATGGAATAACTGGCACAATTCATGATTATGAATATCAGGGGAGATGCAACCGACATATTATCCTCCACATCACCGCCAGTAAGGTTTCCTGCTGCTTTAGTACAGACTGATCAAGGAGCATGTTTCTGAATTCGGAAATTAGGTTTTGAGCGATCATTCGCAGATTGGGCTGCTGCCAGCTCTTTCATGGCTTCCTTTTCTAATTTCTTCTTTTCAGCATCTGCCTGTTGCTCATTCTCGTCACGTGCTTTATTGAACATCTTAACAAAGACAGCCAAGATTTGTGTAACTGCAGGCAGAAACCGAAAAAATTAACAAAAATTTTCTAACTATTATTAACTTAGTTAAATTAATGGGAGCTTAAACATTTCATAGAAGACAAGACCAACAAAATAAATAAATTCCATAGCTCTTTCTTCTAGAGGTTATGTGGCCACATTGACATGCCTAATTATTTTTCATGCAAATTTTTTTTTTTTTTTTTTTTTTTTTGCCGAGGATTCTAATTGTTTAAGATAAAGCAATTGCATTTGGCCACTTTGGTCTAATGCTCAAATGTAAAGTTTATTTTTATGTGATGGTTAACATAGAATTTAAGGATCATGACTAGATGAAATAATCCAAAAAAACCATCATGGTCTCAGAACTCATTGCTTATTCTGTGTCCACAAGTTGTATGCGCTCAAAATTACAATTTAAGATATTGTTGTAACCAACAATATGATAGTATACACCCAATTCTTCATATTAAATTCACATACTATACTCATAATTAGAAAACTAAGTTACCTAGAATGTGGCTTGTGGATTGTTCTGATACGTGGAACGGGAACAGCATATGCCACATGCTCTCTAAAATGTGGCACAGTATGGAGGACTTATATAAAATACTTTATTAAAATTCAAGGTGTCTCTATATTGAATTCTTTTTTCTTTTTTTTTCCTTCAAATTAATCATGTTATAACACATTTATATGAGCATTATAACCAACTATTCATGATATTTCCTGGCAAAACTTTCCTCTCCTTAGATTTTAGCTCACTATATTTGATTTTTTTTCCTCCCAAGGAAACTATTTAGGAAATATATTGGAAAAAAAATTTGTTATCACTTTGGATATATCCTTTCGGAAAGAAAATATACCATGTTTCAAAACATACGTTCCAAAACCTAAATCTCTAAGGTATTAGCATTTTTTGGTAACACTGGTAGAAATATTTCAATGAAATTTGGCTCTCAACCAAATTAGCCAGACTCATGCAATGAAATATGTTAGCATTTTCACTTCCATCATCTAATCTAAACCTACATACATATACATCTCTAACATAATCCTTGTGGCAGATCAAAAGAAATGTAGTGAACTTCCCTACTTGACAGCAACAGAAAATTAAGTACATAAATAAAACCAAACCTTGTTCAAAAGGGCACCTAGCTGGATCCTCCCCAAAATACTGAGACAATGAATCTGCACTTCTTCCCTGCAAGATAAATGTGTCAGTAAACTTAACTAAGCAAGAACTTGCAGGGTTTAATAAAAGAAAAGACTGAAAAGAAGCCTCACCACTTCAGAGAACAAGGAGATAATTGACCTTACTTTAGCTTCAGCAGTATCAAGGAAATTCTTCAAGGCCTGAAAGGTCGAGTACTGATTCTTAACTTTGCATTAAAAACAAACATTTTTTTTTTCTTTTTGTAATTCTACTCCTATGCAATTTAAAGACTCGGCATTTGAAATCAAGGAGAAGCGATAGATAACAGAGACCATAATAGTTTCAAGGAAAAAACAACAAAATTCCATAACCAGAAAACACAAGCTCACATGACAGGAATCTAAAACATACGAACAAATGATGCTGTTAAGATTCTTGTGCAAGCCATATGGATATGATTTCATTAATGCCTCGTTTGGGAATAAGCTATTTTAGTAACTTTTTGGCTTTTTTGGCTAAAAT